ATCGGGTTTGTACGTTGAGCGCAGCACGGAACGCCGTGTATTAGGGCGGTGGCGGCACGACATCTCCATCCCCCCTCCGGCCAGGAGCCGAATGGTTGGCTCTGGAGTGTCAGGCGGAGGAGTTCCTGATCCCTGACTCCCTCCAGAGCGATATCTGTGTCGTCGCAGTCACCGCCGCCACTGTGCGCTGCGAGTCAATGTCTTTGTGACCGCAGGGCTCGGCTCCATCGCACCGGCGTTTCATCTCTCCACGTGTTCTGCCTCTGTGTGCTGCATGGTTGCATTTTACTTTTTCAGGCGCTTTGCAAAAGACGTCGAGGAATATATATGTGTGTGCGTGTTCGGCCCGGTGTGTAAACATTTCATAGCTTGGTCCAAATGGAAATGAAGTAGTTCCCGCCACGAGTTGCAGAGGTTCACGGTTTGAATTCAGCGGCCGCCCCAATGAATACTGCGGTGTGTGTGGAGTACTAAAAATGAAAACACTACGCGCTGTCTGCTTCACCGAGGCCCTCCAAGATGCCACGACGTAATTCGCGCGAGTAGGCCATTGTGTGCCGGCGTCACGGCCACCTTACTTTGCCAAATTCTGAAGAGAAAAACACCGCAAACTGCTCAAAAGGGATCCACACGGCAACGTTTCACCCCCTAACGCGACAACTTGGCAGGACCCTGCTGACAAATAGCCATGAGACTCGGTGAGGATTTCCTGGGAAAACAAGCGCAACACAGTTCGAATACAAACAAATTGTACCGCAGCCAAGGTTAACCGCCATTTCCCCCAAAATGTTCTGAGAAGTTCCGGTGTATATATATTTATTTGGTGGTCTGAGAAGAAGTGGTGTGGCATGACGTCGTATACCGGCCCAGGTCCACCACTGGTTGCGTCTTAAACAAAGCATCGTCTTACTCCAATCTAAAACGAATGTCTACGCATTCAAAGACAAAGATCCCCCGTGTAGCCTTAACAGACCGTTGGGGCAAGTGCCGTTAGCGAGCACCGGCATGGCGCGCAAGGGGGTGGCGTGTGGCCAGAACCACGGCCGAACGCCTTTGTCTCTCCAGTGCTAATGTTTACACACCGAACCAGGTACTGATTTAAGGCTGAGTCGACCTAGGGGAGGCCCAGGACCGGTTCATATATCGATGGCCACTGATGTTGGCTGTGAGCGGGAAATTAACTAGGGTTGCTCAGTTCGTAGCGCAGCGCGCTAACCATTGCCCTACCCACTGCCCGAGTACACACACACACACACGTGTGTGTGTGTGTTTCGGCTCTACAAAAATATTTTCTCCGAGCCAAATCATGCCCATCTCACTTTCCGCTGCCTCGCTTCTTTGAACGTGACCTCAACATTCACTACAGAACTGAAACGAGAAGGGCGGGCCCCCGGGTCTTCAGCGGCAACTTTCTAAATTCGGCTTCTTAACCAGGGCCCCCCTCCGAAAAAAACCAAGCAAGAATGTTTATTCTTGCTTGAGCTGCAGTCATTCCTGGGCCTCGCCTAGCCTAGCACAACTCTCACGCGCCACGTTGGGCTGGGCAGATGTAGCCACGCGGCGGGACGGCGTTCCCTCGTTATTCGCGATGAGGGACAGTACCTGAAATGAATATTACGTGAATAAAATCTAAATACGTAAATAAGCTTTTAAATATATGGAAATTATCATAACACGCGATTATGCTCCAGATGCGATTCGCGGATAGCCAAAATCGCGGATAGCAAGTTGGTGAATGAGAAGGGAATACTGTAGCTACTGGACTTTCAGTGGCCACCCGTTCATGTTTCAAACTCCAAGGTACCTGGCCCCTCTTTGAATAAGGTTCAAACGGTTACCTGGAAAACACGCCTTGTTCGGCGGCTACCCGTTAAAAAGTTCCCGGAACCAAGTAAACACTTCTACACGCATTGCCTCGGTCATGCAGCCTGCAACTCAACACCACAGCCTCTATTTCCACCCACCACCTCCTCCTCCTCCACCACCACCACCACGCTTCACGCTGCCAGTGCTCTGATATCTCACGGCACAGCAGTGACCTCCGACCCCTGCAAGGGGGGGGGTCACTGACACAGCCACCGCCGTGCATGCGTTGCACGCGTGCTGTCAATTCTGGTCGGAGGGTCATTTTGCATTTTTTGTCCATTTAGGTGGCAGCACGCAGAGCGGACCACTCTTGAGAACGATGTCACGGGAGTCTCCGGTGTCCATGCCGTGGCGACGTAGGACTGTGCAGAAAAGTTACCGCCCGGCCGTGGGAATCGCGTAGCCGGCGAGGGCACCAAGAGCCCTTGCTGGGCGACAACAAAACTGCCTCGGGCTCCATCACCGCCGCTGGGAGTTTGTCAATTCAAGGAATCTGTCGGGCGATGAGGCTCAGCGGTAGAGCGAGCGGCTCGCGATCGCAAGGTTGGGGGGGTTGAGTCGGCCCAATGTCCTTTTCAGGGTCGATAAAATTAATACCTCTTTGTGGGGTAGTCAACAGTGGGCGTCCTGTGGATAGAATCACCCCCTGCGATAGGAATGTGGAATTTGCACCACTGGTTCATGTATGCATGTTGAATTTATTTCGCACCGTATGTAACCGAACGCGCTAATCGGAGGTGCGGGGGAAGGACAACAAACTAAACACAAAAAGCAGTTCTCAATAAATGAAGGATACAAAGAGGAAATCACTTTGACTCTTTGACCATCACTACCACATGAGACCACGACATTTGTCCGAGAATTTAATAATTATTTAGACAAATCATAACAATGTAATTTGTTAATCGAGGAAAGCTCACTGGATCTCAACGCTCCCTTTGTGAGGCGCGTCCTGTGCTTGAGATGTTCGGCCAAATTCCATTACAAGAAGTGTTTTCTGCATTTACCAACGGAATTATCCGCTCTCTAAGCTCCCCTGGTGTTACACGCGAGACCAATTTCGCTTCGTAGTTTACCAAATGAAATTGCCCGGGCGCTGATGAAATTGCCCGTCGGCGACGGGAAGCCGCTTGGCTGGCGAAGGGGGCAGATGCATCGGGATCCACCGCCGTACTCCGCTGTTGCTTCCATTTCAGCCGGAACGCTGCTCCGGAAAATTATCTTCGCCTTCCTTCTTACGCTCCCCGTGCCCCCCCCCCCCAACCTCCCACTCCTCCCGCTTTCACCAAACTCGCACTGACCAGCATGGCGAAGTACGGTCAAAAGGTCCCCCCTGCGAACCGCACGGCATGCTTGAGGCGTTCATCCAGCAGTGGATGAACACAAAAAGGTTGCAGTCGGTGTGCACGTGCAACTCGAGGTCGTTTACCGTCGTGAGCTACGCACAGGCGTGCTGTTTCTATCAGACGGGAGGAACGTACGATTGTTATTATTATTTGTGAGACATTAAACGTTCCCCACTGAAGCTCGCCTGCTGCAGTGCGGCCACACGACCCGTCCGCTGACTCCACGGCCGGGGCGGCTGACGCAACAGCGCCAAGCGTCACCGCTGTGAGCGCGCGCGAGTGTGCGCGCCCCGCCGTCTAAATTGGGTCACACTCAGAGGTCGGAAATATTACTTAGACTGCGAAGGAGCTGAAGTCGGCTCATCTGTCAACGTCAACAACCGCCACGGCACAGCCCCACGAGGTGCCGCTGTTAATGATTAATAGCGCACGTGAGCAGATGGTAGCTTAAAGGGAGGCGCGGCCCGAAGCACAAAACGCCCGTCACCTCGTACACACGAACCGAGGAGGGACGGCTTCCCAATGTTTAGAATTTTGTGGGCGAGTCTGGAACGAAATTGATCTGAAATGTGACGTCGTAAGGAGGCGACGTCGCGTCACTGACGTCACTGACGTCAGTGACGTCGCGTCACTGACGTCACTGACGTCAGTGAAGTCGCGTCACTGACGTCACTGACGTCGCGTCACTGACCTCGCGGCATCGCCGCTTTGTCCACCGACATGAGATGCCGGTACTTCGGTTACTTCTGGTGTCCACAGGCGGTCACGGACACACTCAGAGACCGCACAGCGACGGAGTTCATCCGTATCCCAACCGGAGCGAGTTGGTGAGCACTGTATGAATGAATCGCCTTCGCGCGACCTCGACTTTGGCTCGAATTCTTAAAATAAATGTTTTCAATGTTTGCATTAAAATGCATTGTTTTTATGGATGGAAACTTGACGGGAAAAAAAATTAAGCACTTAACATTTCAAACGATCCAACCGGTTGCATTGAGCGGGTACATGAACATTCATGGAAACAGATGGAAACTTACTCGCATCCAAACGAGCAAAGACATCAGTTGCTGAAAGAAGTTTTTCCGCACGAAACAAACGTCAACGTTTTAAAATGGTCAACCGCGGCGCTTGAGCACTGAAAGGGGTGGATGGAAGAACCGTATCACAAGCCCAAAATCACCCCCCTTAAATTATGGTACATTCCACAGCTATGTCCCATGCACACTAATTTCAGCAGCAAAACAAGGAGGGATGAGAGTGGAGCATGCCACTTCTGTCTCAAAGTGGGGGGGGAGGAGATTTTGTGGGTTTCCCTACCGTCCTCGATACATTTCTGCAACCGTCTGGAATGCTCTTCCTTTCGATATCAGGAAGCCACTGGAGCTATGCACTTTCAAATAATCGAGATCAGGGGTCGGTAAGCAAAATAACAAGAAGAGCTATATTTCTAGAATCCAGTCAGAAACTCAATGCATGTGAATACGAGACGATGGTCCCTAATGAAGTCAGGGAGTGTTCCTTAAAGAGATGCATGTAGCTCCAGAGCCACAGGCTGCCGACTCCTCATCGCAGTGGAAAACTCATTTCTTTAGAATTGCTGTTTGTGTTTAGTCTGTTGTATTTCCCCCCGCACCTCCGATTAGCGAAACAAGTTCAACATACGTACACACAACGCACCGCAGCTGTGGCACGGGACCCTCCTGATGTCCTGTGGGCATGAGGCGGCCGTGGAGAGGTTCGGGTCAGGGGCTCGGGCCGGTGGAGGGGCAGGTAGAGAGACAGACTCACCGATGTAGACGGAGGAGTCTCGCTTGGACACGTGGTCGTCGATGTACGAGACTCCGAGCGGCTGCACCGGCGTCGCCCCCACACCCAGCAGCATCTGCGGACACCAACATCGCCACCGCCGTCGTTTAAATGGCCATTCACCGGACCGCCATAATTGCTGTCGTCATTTCAATAATACGATTAACTACACCGCCATCATCATCATCATCGCTACGATGTCATCACTGCCACCATCACCGTTGTAAAGGACCCTCAGGATTACCACTACCATCATCACCATCATCATTTAAACTACCATTAATGGCACCACCACCATCATCATTGTCCTCAATCTAAAGTCTAGAATTTCACAACTGCCATCACCAAAAGCCACCATTGCCATGACCACGACTGCCACTACTGACCAAAACATAACGACCCCCACTTTCATCACGATCCTGACCATTACGATCAAAAGCCATTGTAAATACGCATCACCACGTCCCCAAAATCGCCAACACAGTACAGATATGAAACACAATAACGATCAAACATCTCGCAGAACTCCGAGCCTATGGACCCGCACGGGATTGGACAAATAAAGAGCTTGCAGCGGAGTCGGCCGCGACGTCTCCCTTTGACCGACGACAAATCCGGGGTTTGTCAAGCGCAACGCTCCCGACCACGATTCCGATGGAGCCGCCTGCTTCGTCGCTCTTCCATCGCTCTGCAGCTGCGCCCCCTCACCCCACCCGGTGTCTCCGAGGTCCTGACCGCCACTCCCCTGCCTCCGTGTGACCTCTCACCTGCGCCCCGATGAGCAGCAGATAAAGGAAGTCGGTGGACTCGGGGTCGCTGGTCACGCACATGCGGTCCCGCGCGAACTTGGCGGCCGCCTCCGTCTCGCCCGTCACGTTGGGTCGGCAAACGTCACTCCGCACGCCCAGGGCCTTGTAGGCCTCGCCCTGTGCCGGGGGGGGGGGGGGGGGGTGTTGATTAAGCGAGCGTTGTTTATTTTTAAGGTAGCAGTCGTCTTGGTGTGGTGGAGAAAAATAAAATCGAAATTTTACTGCGGTCGAAAATATTGGGACGACAACACGAGAGGTTTTTTTTTGGGCCAGAACACGTAAATATATAAATGCGTCGTTAAACCCGCCACCACCCGACACAGCCAACTAGTAAGGTTTGTCACGTAAACAGAACGTGCCCATTCGTCACTAGTACAGCGCGCCGGTTTTGTGTTGGAGAGCCAAGCCACAACATTGACAATTATTCCGCGATGACGACGGTAACCAAAGCGTGCCACCGTGGCGACACAACGATTAGTCGAGCCGAAGGCAAAAAAAGATTTCACACTCAAGCGAGCATCGAGGCATCGGTGCTCATCTCCTGTCTACAGCCCCGCTGGGGCAGTGGTGGAAATTCCGCATTCCTATGGCGGGGTACGGGTCGATCACAAAGGACAATTGCTGTTTTACCTCCCCACAACCACGATTTGAACTCGCAACCGTCCCGAGCCACCTGGCTGGATTAACGCGGCCAAACGTTCAATTAAAACCACGTCTAGTTATTAATGTTGGCGTGAGGGGTGTGCCATATCCATTCCGCACCCCCCCCCGCCCCCATGAATACTGAGTTGAGCCAATCAGTGAACTCTAAGATCCTCACTGAGTCACCTCGGCTCGCACGTTCACGCTGCGACGAGAGACCAACCTAACGAGTCCGAGTGGCCTCGTTGGGTTGGTCTCTCGCCGCACCCGCGCCCATTTGCGGCGGGGGGCCGCAGGAGCCGCAGCCACCGGCGGCCGCTGGGCCGCTGGGCCGCTGGGCCGCTGGGCCGCTCCCTCCCGCCGGCTCGTCCTCGCGCCGAGATTATTCTCGTCGTCAAATTTCGTTCGGAAAAGTAACGCCGCCCTGAGGCGCCATCGTAAGCCGTGGTCACGGTGGGGGAGCGGGATGGGGGCCGGTGGTGGTGACAGTGGGGTGGGGGTGAGGGGGTGGGGGGGTGAGGGGGTGGGGGGGTGGGGGGCCCCCAGGGGAGGCGGGGGGCGTCGACCCCCCCCCTCCCCCTCCCAGAGGCAAATGGACTTCAGTCGTGATGAATAGCGGTACAAAACGCTATCGATCCCTGCCATGGATCCTATTAGACTATTACCGATATTTAATCCTCGCGATATTCGCCGCCGGGGTGATTTAAACCGCCGTGACGGCCGGGGACGGACACCTCAGCACCACCGAGCTGACGGCCAGAGCGTCAGGTTCACAACCGATCGCATCATCGCCTGAGGCTCCAACGCTGTCGATAACGGTTCAATTGAATCACAACTTGCATTTACTCAATAATCAAATCAGAATGGGGGGGGGGGGGGCTTCTAGCCAATGGTAGAAATTCCACATTTCTATGCCGGGGTCTAGTCTATCCTCATACAGTCTGGTGACATCGCACTGACAGACACACGCACAAAGACTAAGATCCCCCGTACAGCCTTAACAGACTCTTGGGGCAAATGCTTTTGGTGAGCAACTATGAAGGCCGGAACGGGGGAAGGGGTGGGGGGCCAGCACCATGCCTGGCCGCCTTTGTCTCCTTGATGGCGATGTTTAAACACCGCACCAGGTACTCATTTTGAGGCTGAATTGACCAAGCGGAGCCCCAAGACTGGTTCACATAAACGTCACCGGTGTTGGCCGTGAGCGGGAATGGAACTCAGGTCGCCGGGTTCTTAGCGCAGCGTAGCGCTAACCATGATACTACCACTCCACAAGCACAAAGATCCCCCGTATAGTCTGTAACAGACTGTTGGGGCAAGTGCTGTTAGCGAGCACCTATGAAGGCCGGCACGACACACGAGGAGGTGAGCGGCCAACACCACGCCCGGCCGCCTTTATCTCCCGAGTGATGATGTTTACTACACACCGCGCCAGGTACTCATTTGAGGCTAAGTCGACCTAAGGGAGGCCCAGGACCGGTTCAGATAATCGTCACCGGTGTTGGCCGTTAGCGGGAGTCAAACTCGAGTCGCCAGGTTCGTAGTGCAGCGTAGCGCTAACTTCTTCACCACTGCTCCCCACGTACACACTCACACGCACGTGCACTCACACGCACGTGCACATGCACACGCACGTGCACACGCACGTGCACACGCACGTACACATGCACGTACACACGCACGTACACACGCGTACGCACGTGCACGCACACGCACGTGCACACACGTACACACGTACACACACACACGTACACACACACGTACGCACACGTACACACACACACGTACACACACACATACGCACACACGTACACACACACACGTACACACACGCACACACGTACACACACACACGTACACACGTACACATACACACACGTACACACACACACGTACACACGTACACACACACACGCACACACGTACACACACACGTACACACGTACACGTACACACGTACACGTACACACGTACACACGTACACACACACGCACCACACACACGTACACACACACATGTACACACACACACGTACACACGTACACACACACACACGTACACACACACACGTACACACACACACGTACACACGTACACACACGTACACACACACACGTACACACACACATGTACACACGTACACACACACACACACGTACACACACACACACGTACACACGTACACACACAAACACGTACACACACACACACACACGTACACACGTACACACACACACACGTACACACACACACGTACACACAAACACACACGCACACACGTACACATACACACGTACACACACACACGTACACACACACACACACACGCACACACGTACACATACACACACACACACGTACACACACACACACGTACACACACACACGTACACACACACACACGCACACACGTACACACACACACGTACACACACACACACGTACACACACACACGTACACACACACACGTACACACACACGCACACACACACACACACGTACACACACACACGTACACACACACACACACGTACACACACACACACGTACACACACACACGTACACACACACACACGTACAAACACACACGTACACACACACACGTACACACACACACACACGTACAAACACACACGTACACACACACACACGTACAAACACACACGTACACACACACACACGTACACACACACACACGTACACACACACACACACGTGTACACGCACCTGGGGCTGATATTGCCGCCCCAGGAACTCGGGCAGGGCAGAGAGCAGCGCGCCCAGCGCCATGACGATGCCGCCACAACCGATGAGACGGGGCCGGTGGCCGCGGCCGCCAAAGTAGCTGACAAAGAGGATCAGGGCGAGGTTCCCCATCTCGAAGCTACTCGCCAGCATGCCCAGGTCGGCCGTCTTGAGGTTGAAGCGCCGCTCGAGGGTGGTTAGCATGCTCACCTGCACGACGCACAGACACGTGACACCCACACTCAACACCTGGACACATCACCTGGGTGTCAACCCACACTCAACACCTGGGCATTGAACCCAACACATTACCTGGGCATTGAACCCAACACAACACCTGCGCATTGACTCAGCACATCACCTGGGCATTGACTCAGCACATCACCTGGTCATTCACCCTGCTCAACACCCAGACATTGACCAAACACTTCAGTACTATTCGCGAACACCTATGGATGCCCGGCATGGCATACAAGGGGATGGGGGTGGTCAACGCCACACCTGGCCGCCTTTGTCTCTCCGGTGGCGATGTTCACACACTGCGCCAGGTCCTCGTACTCACTCTGCAGAACAGGGGGGAATCACAAACCCCACACATTAAAAGGGCACCCGAGTAGGGAATTCAACCCCGGCCCTTCTCGCCGCGAGGCACGGGTGCCACCGCTACGCCGCCCTGCCGCCATCGGATCGTGAAGGTGGGGGGGGGAGAGAATCATTGCATCGCTTACTCCCCATGCGGCATCGATTACCTCCAACTGGCACCCCCTCCCCCCCCCGGACGGAGGAGAGAGCGGCGTCAACCAGGACGACCCCCACGCTTGGCACCCCACGGCAGGGTAATCCACTTTGGGGGTTTCAAGGAATTAAAGAGAGAACCTCGCGCAAGGGCTGGACGGGCTCGCCTTTGAGGAGGCTCCACTTCAGTCGCGCACGCAGCAGAGAGTAAAGTAGTTCGATCAGAAACAAACTGAAATGTCAAAGGTCAGATTGACAGGCAGGGCGCTCCCGTCCATGTGTAGCCGTGAGGCATTCGCTGCAAATGCGCCATTCCTATGACGGCCACCGCTGGTCACTGCTACGGCAAGGCCTGGGAAACCCACTGCTGGACCGGCACGACGCGGGCCTCACCGGGAAACTGACTCGTCGCAGAACGCGTCCTCGTAACTCGACAGCAAAGTTACAAATCGCGATGATCACCGCTCTCATTGTCATTGTCGTTGCCCTATGTTCGCCGTTGCATGCTGGTATTTCTTTAGCGATCTGTAATAAAAATGTAGTTTGTTGCAAAATCGCCTGATGAAGCTGGTTGTAATTGCCAGCGAAACGTCGTACTCAAACAGTACATGTTGTGGGTTTACTCTCCAACACACCGGTGTGCTGAAGTAGTCACTAATTGGAACGTTTGCTTTACGTCACAAAACTTACTAATTGGCCGTGTCGGGTGGTGGCGGGTGCCAAGATCGGCCTCTGTGCAGGAGGCTACCGGGCAACTGGTGACACTTGCGCGTGTGTGTACAGGCGCGTGCGTGTGTGTTAGGAGCGGCAGTGCAGAGGTTAGCGCTGCGTTACGAACCCGGCGACCCGAGTTCGATTCCCGCTCGTGGCCAACAACGGGGACGATTGCCTGAACCGTTGCCGGGCCTCCCCTAGGTCGACTCAGCCTCAAATGAGCACCCGGTGCGGTGTGTGGTGCTGGGCACCCACCGCTTCACGTGCCGTGGCGACCTTAGCACTTGCCCCTGCAGCTGGTTAAGGCTACCGGGGCGATCTTCGTCTTTCGTGTGCACGTGTCGTTATCTGTGTTTATGTAAGCGCCGGTAAGAGAGGAGAGGTGGTGGTGGTGGTGGCGGTAGTACCGTGGCTAATCCACTTCACGCCGTCATAAGCAATCGATTCTCCTCTCCCTCCCGTCCAGGCTCCGTGAGGGCTTCCTCCATCGCGGGATATTCTCCTTGACCAATCCGAGCGTTGTGCAAAAGCAAATCCGCGACGAGACGCGCGACTCTTCCCCCTTGCCGCCCCCCACCGACCCCCGTCACCGAGACACCGGCCGTCTGACCCGTGGCGACCTGGCAGGTTTGCCGTTTGCTTTTTTTTTTCCCAAACCAAAACGAATATCAAAAGAACCGCAGCTCTGCAGCGAGCGGGATCGCGAAACGCGCGGCCGTGGCGTCGCCGCACCGACCGGGGGGTGGCAGCTGCCCCACAACCCTTGAGGATTTCTGAGCGTGTACTTGAGTCGAGACAAACGGCGTAATTGGCGCGATTGCGCCGCTGACAGGGCAGGCCACGTCCGCCCTTTAACCCCGAACGCCGCCCGCCGCTGTCCCTGTCCCCGTCGCGCCCGCGAGAGCCCCACGCGAGGGCCTCTGCCAGTCGCGGCCGCTCAGAGATCCTCGTAAGAGGCCTCGCGCGTCCCCCGCTTAATGTATGCAGCAAACACAACATTTAATCATTGTGCGCCGGTATTAAGGCGATTAATCACCGCGCGGATAAACGGATTGGGTCGGGCTGGGCCGCGGCGACGGTGGTGGCGGTGGTGGTGGTGGGAGTGGTGGCAGCGGTGGCGGTGGTGGGAGTGGTGATGGTGTTGGTGGCGGTGGTGGGAGTGGTGGTGGTGGCGGTGGTGGGAGTGGTGGTGGTAGTGGTGGCGGTGGTGGTGGTGGTGGTGACGGTGGCTACTGACGCGTACTGACACTGACACAGGGCGAGGACGATGGCGCATCTGAGCACTCGGCACAGGGCGGCATCTGTCAGGCCGGGGTATCAACTTGACAGCCGTTAATTACACTGGCGCCGGGGGGTGGGGGGGTGGGGGGGCGGGGGGGGGCGGGGGGGGGGGGCGGGGGGGGTCCGTCCGTGCGTGGCGCTTTATGTGACGGACGCGCTGCCACACGCCGCACCGGTGCCCTACCCATCATTCTTCAGCGGGGATGAAACCCGCGAGCTAAAGGGTACACGTGGGGTAGGAAGGGTACACGTGGGGTAGGAAGGGTACACGTGGGGTAGGAAGGGTACACGTGGGGTAGGAAGGGTACACGTGGGGTAGGAAGGGTACACGTGGGGTAGGAAGGGTACACGTGGGGTAGGAAGGGTACATGAGTTGGATTCCCGGTATCTGCCACGCTCTTCATCAATCCGTATCGACCGTTGCGGTGAAGTATGGTCAAACAACCCCCGTGGCTGACATGGCTTTTGAAAGCCTTCAACCAGCAGCAAATTTAGCGTTGGAAAGAATAATACTTAAGTCTTATCACATTATAAAAAATTATCCTGAGTAATACTTACATTTATTATACCGTCATTTAAATATCCCTGATGCAATGTACTCTTGCATTGAAATGAAAACGTTCGTAAATATAATTACTGCCAACAAAATAAAGATGCTGCCTGCATCGCATCTGTCTCACAAAGGTCTCAATATTCTGTTGGGGTCACTGTTTGTGAATTTGTGGACCCCAACGTTGGTAGGTCTGGGTTGGTAGCAGGGGTAAGTAGGCCCAGGATCGGTTCAGATGTCACTCACCACTGATATTAGCCACGGCCCGGATTCAAACTCAGGTGCCGGAGTGATGAGTGCACTAACGACCACAACCACCGCTTCTCGTGGCCGGCTATAAACGAATCCAGGTCATCTATCTAAATATAGAAATAAAATACTATTGGTGAACAAATCCAAATCACTACGTGTGCACTGCAGTTATGCAAATCGTGACTCCGGTAATCATTGGCACCGCGCTCATCATTGAGCACAGGAAGACCTCTCACCGCCCGAGCCTCGAATCACCACCGTCAGTCGCCACGCTAGCCACTAGTACTAGTCCTGTCACCCTACCAGCTAGCCACTAGTACTAGTCCTGTCACTTACCCTACCAGCTAGCCACTAGTACTAGTCCTGTCACTTACCCTACCAGCTAGCCACTAGTACTAGTCCTGTCACCCTACCAGCTAGCCACTAGTACTAGTCCTGTCACCCTACCAGCTAACCACTAGTACTAGTCCTGTCACCCTACCAGCTGCCACTAGTACTAGTCCTGTCACCCTACCAGCTAGCCACTAGTACTAGTCCTGTCACTTACCCTACCAGCTAGCTACTAGTACTAGTCCTGTCACTCTACCAGCTAGCTACTAGTACTAGTCCTGTGACTCTACCAGCTAGCCACTAGTACTAGTCCTGTCACCCTACCAGCTAGCCACTAGTACTAGTCCTGTCACTTATCCTACCAGCTAGCCACTAGTACTAGTCCTGTCACTCTACCAGCTAGCTACTAGTACTAGTCCTGTCACCCTACCAGCTAGCTACTAGTACTAGTCCTGTCGCCCTACCAGCTAGCCACTAGTACTAGTCCTGTCACTTACCCTACCAGCTAGCCACTAGTACTAGTCCTGTCACCCTACCAGCTAGCTACTAGTACTAGTCCTGTCACCCTACCAGCTAGCTACTAGTACTAATCATGTCACCCTACCAGCTAGCCACTAGTACTAGTCCTGTCACCCTACCAGTTAGCCACTAGTACTAGTCCTGTCACCCTACCAGCTAGCTACTAGTACTAGTCCTGTCACTCTACCAGCTAGCTACTAGTACTAGTCCTGTCACTCTACCAGCTAGCTACTAGTACTAGTCCTGTCACCCTACCAGCTAGCTACTAGTCCTGTCACCCTACCAGCTATCCACTAGTATTAGTCCTGTCACCCTACCAGCTAGCCACTAGTACTAGTCCTGTCACCCTACCAGCTAGCCACTAGTACTAGTCCTGTCACTCTACCAGCTAGCTACTAGTACTAATCATGTCACCCTACCAGCTAGCTACTAGTACTAATCATGTCACCCTACCAGCTAGCCACTAGTACTAGTCCTGTCACCCTACCAGCTAGCTACTAGTACTAGTCCTGTCACCCTACCAGCTAGCTACTAGTACTAGTCCTGTCACCCTACAAGCTAGCCACTAGTACTAGTCCTGTCACCCTACCAGCTAGCCACTAGTACTGTCACTTACCCTACCAGCTAGCCACTAGTACTAGTCCTGTCACTTACCCTACCAGCTAGCCACTAGTACTAGTCCTGTCACCCTACCAACTAGCTACTAGTACTAGTCCTGTCACCCTACCAGCTAGCTACTAGTACTAGTCCTGTCACCCTACCAGCTAGCTACTAGTACTAGTCCTGTCACCCTACCAGCTAGCCACGAGTACTAGTCCTGTCACCCTACCAGCTAGCCACTGGTACTAGTCCTGTCACTTACCCTACCAGCTAGCTACTAGTACTAGTCCTGTCACTTACCCTACCAGCTAGCCACTAGTACTAGTCCTGTCACTAACCCTACCAGCTACAGTGAGGGAAAAAAGTATTTGATTCCTTGCTGATTTTGTACGTTTGCCCACTGACAAAGAAATGACCAGTCTATAATATTAATGGTAGGTTTATTTGAACAGTGGGAGACAGAATAACAACAACAAAAAATCCGGAAAAACGCATGTCGAAAATGTTATAAATCGATTTACATTTTAATGAGGGAAATAAGTATTTGACCCCTCTGCAAAACATGACTTAGTACTTGGTGGCAAAACCCTTGTTGGCAATCACAGAGGTCAGACGTTTCTTGTAGTTGGCCATCAGGTTTGCACACATCTCAGGAGGGATTTTATCCCACTCCTCTTTGCAGATCTTTTCCAAGTCATTAAGGTTTCGAGGCTGACGTTTGGCAACTCGAACCTTCAGCTCCCTCCACAGATTTTCTATGGGATTAAGGTCTGGAGACTGGCTAGGCCACTCCAGGATCTTAATGTGCTTCTTCTTGAGCCACTCCTTTGTTGCCTTGGCCGTGTGTTTTGGGTCATTGTCATGCTGGAATACCCATCCACGACCCGTTTTCAATGCCCTGGCTGAGGGAAGGAGGATCTCACCCAAGATTTGACGGTACATGGTCCTGTCCATCGTCCCTTTGATGCGGTGAAGTTGTCCTGTCCCCTTAGCAGAAAAACACCCCCAAAGCATAATATTTCCACCTCCATGTTTGACGGTGGGGATGGTGTTCTTGGGGTCATAGGCAGCATTCCTCCTCCTCCAAACACGGCGAGTTGAGTTGATGCCAAAGAGCTCCATTTTGGTCTCATCTGACCACAACACTTTCACCCAGTTGTCCTCTGAATCATTCAGATCTTCATTGGCAAACTTCAGACGGGCATGTATGTGCTTTCTTGAGCAGGGGGACCTTGCGGGCGCTGCAGGATTTCAGTCCTTCACGGCGTAGTGTGTTACCAATTGTTTTCTTGGTGACTATGGTCCCAGCTGCCTTGAGATCATAGATAAGATCCTCCCGTGTAGTTCTGGGCTGATTCCTCACCATTCTCATGATCATTGCAACTCCACGAGGTGAGATCTTGCATTGAGCCCCAGGCCGAGGGAGATTGACAGTTCTTTTGTGTTTCTTACATTTGCGAATAATCGCACCAACTGTTGTCACCTTCTCACCAAGCTGCTTGGCAATGGTCTTGTAGCCCATTCCAGCCTTGTGTAGGTCCACAATCTTGTCCCTGACATCCTTGGAGAGCTCTTTGGTCTTGGTCATGGTGGAGAGTTTAGAATCTGATTGCTTGATTGCTTCTGTGGACAGGTGTCTTTTATACGGTAACAAGCTGAGATTAGGAGCATTCCCTTTAAGAGTGTGCTCCTAATCTCAGCTCTTTACCTGTATAAAAGACACCTGGGAGCCAGAAATCTTTCTGATTGAGAGGGGGTCAAATACTTATTTCCCTCATTAAAATGCAAATCAATTTATAACATTTTTGACATTCGTTTTTCCGGATTTTTTTGTTGTTATTCTGTCTCTCACTGTTCAAATAAACCTACCATTAAAATTATAGACTGATCATTTCTTTGTCAGTGGGCAAACGTACAAAATCAGCAGGGGATCAAATACTTTTTTCCCTCACTGTACTATCCATCACAATGACCCTAACCCTCGTCAACTTACCAGCCAGCCACAAGTACTATCCATCACACTCACTCTAACCCTCGTCAACTTACCAGCCAGCCACAAGTACTATCCATCACACTCACCCTAACCCTAGTCAACTTACCATCCATCCACAAGTACTATCCATCACACTCACCCTAACCCTAGTAAACTTACCAGTCATCCACAAGTACTATCCATCACACTCACCCTAACCCTAGTAAACTTACCAGCCAGCCACAAGTACTATCCATCACACTCACCCTAACCCTAGTAAACTTGCCATCCACAAGTACTATCCATCACACTCACCCTAACCCTAGTAAACTTACAATCCATCCACAAGTACTATCCATCACACTCACCCTAACCCTAGTAAACTTACCAGCCAGCCACAGGTACTATCCATCACACTCACCCTAACCCTAGTCAACTTACCATCCATCCACAAGTACTATCCATCACACTCACCCTAACCCCAGTCAACTTACCATCCATCCACAAGAACTATCCATCACACTCACCGTAACCCTAGTCAACTTACCAGCCATCCACAAGAACTATCCATCACACTCATCCTAACCCTAGTCAACTTACCAGCCATCCACGAGTACTATCCATCACACTCACCCTAACCCTAGTCAACTTACCAGCCATCCACAAGTACTATCCATCACACTCACCCTAACCCTCGTCAACTTACCATCCATCCACAAGTACTATCCATCACACTCACCCTAACCCTAGTCAACTTACCAGCCATCCACGAGTACTATCCATCACACTCACCCTAACCCTAGTCAACTTACCAGCCATCCACAAGTACTATCCATCACACTCACCCTAACCCTAGTAAACTTACCAGCCATCCACAAGTACTATCCATCACACTCACCCTAACCCTCGTCAACTTACCATCCATCCACAAGTACTATCCATCACACTCACCCTAACCCTAGTCATCTTACCAGCCATCCACAAGTACTATCCATCACACTCACCCTAACCCTCGTCAACTTACCATCCATCCACAAGAACCATCCATCACACTCACCCTAACCCTAGTAAACTTACCAGCCATCCACAAGTACTATCCATCACACTCACCCTAACTCTCGTCAACTTACCATCCATCCACAAGTACTATCCATCACACTCACCGTAACCCCAGTCAATTTACCAGCCATCCACAAGTACTATCCATCACACTCACCCTAACCCTAGTAAACTTACCATCCATCCACAAGTACTATCCATCACACTCACCGTAACCCCAGTCAATTTACCAGCCATCCACAAGTACTATCCATCACACTCACCCTAACCCTAGTAAACTTACCATCCATCCACAAGAACTATCCATCACACTCACCGTAACCCTAGTCAACTTACCAGCCATCCACAAGTACTATCCATCACACTCACCCTAACCCCAGTCAACTTACCAGCCATCCACAAGTACTATCCATCACACTCACCCTAACCCTAGTAAACTTACCATCCATCCACAAGTACTATCCATCACACTCACCCTAACCCTCGTCAACTTACCATCCATCCACAAGAACTATCCATCACACTCACCCTAACCCTCGTCAACTTACCATCCATCCACAAGTACTATCCATCACACTCACCCGGAGGCCAATTTAGCTTTGGCCCGACCTGCACAGTTTAGCAGGGCCCATTTGCTCCTTCCATTCGATTTTCATTTTCGTTGTTCACAGCTCTAAAACAACACCCTTCAAAATCAATACCACCGCTGCCTCACACGTCCCGTGACATTGTACGGCATTGAGAAATAAAACAAAGAATCGGTCAAGCCACATCACAGGAGGAGGCCCTGTTTAATGCCGGCGTCATGGCCAAAGGTTCTGCACCTGCCAACAATTACCAAATTGCTGTACTGCCAAACTTGCATACCCCTGCACTAATTTCAGAGTTGTTCGAGCCAAAGCTGCCACAAGTCAATACCTGGCCCAGTACAATAAATATATTTTTTAATTAACTCTAAAACGAACAACTAGCCTTCCATAGCATTGCCACAGCTTCACCCACCAGAATTTCCCCCAATCATTGATTTTGCGACTCATCTCATCATCACAATCGATGCTCTAAACATCTGCAGATGCAGGGCAGGAACCTGCTTGCTCTACTGCCTTTCACAGGCTACCCGCAACAAAGCTGGGCAGGTTGGGCATCTCAGTCACATGGCATCTGCGCGATCCATCAACCATCAATCAGTGGCACTGGACTATAGGTGTACATTAGCAGCGTCCTCAAAGCAACCACCACCACGACTGACGCCATCACCACCACCACCGACACCATCACCACAACCACAATCACCACCGACACCACCACCGCCGACACCGCCACCATCGCCACCCGACAACCCCCACCAACAACAGCATCCTCACCACCACGAGGCCACCGCCGCCACCCGCTGCGCCATCTCACCAGGTACGCGCCCGCCGTGCCCTGCGCCAGCATGAGCGCGCACTCGGCCAGCAGGAACACCTTGACGTTGGCGAAGCACGAGGGCCGGGGGGCGCCCTTGAGGCGGGGCACCAGCGCGCCGACGTCTTCCCCCAGCTTCGTGGGGCTCGCCATGGCCCGCGGCCTGCGCTCCCCCCGTCTCTCCCCGGCCGGGCGAGGTCGCCCCGGGTCTCCGCGCGGGATTGAGCGGGGCGGGCGAGCGAGCGGGGCGTTATCCGAGATGAGACGATGTCGAAGAAGCCGGGGGATAGCGGGGAGCTTTATAACGAAGACCACCGGGGCGAGGGGAGACCGGGCCGAGTGGGTGCGCTGCGGGGAGCTTCGCCGGGGAAATGTCCAGGGATCGCCTGCGATGAGTTCAACCTGAGGGGCTCACGTCGATGCTGGGAGACGGATCAATCAACTCGATGGCCGAATGGGGCCACCTGTGCAATGGAATCACAATGGGTCACCTTGACTATTGTACACAAACTTGTCACCTCGGGACATCTGCACGGGTCACTTTTATGACGATATCCAAATAAAATCAACTCGACGACGATGCCCGGACGGTGTCAAGCTTGACGACAGAACCTGCCCGGGTCACTTCGACAGCAGCGGGCAGCTTCCCTAGGATGGTAGCCGATAGCAATCTGTGAGACCGGCGCCGTGTTTAACTGACGCTGCTCCTGGGTCAATCCTGGTGGCGCAGTTCAGAGTCACCGCCAACACGGCTGCCACGTAAACCGTGGCCTCGGGGCCGGTGTCTGCTGCGTGCCGTGGACTGTACCACTTCGGGACGGGGGAGCGGTCGCTCGGACCGGCCCGCGGGCGGACGGGCGGGCGGCAGACGCGCGTGCACACACGCGGAACGCGCTCTCGGCTCGTTCGAACGACGCGCGCGGGTTGGAGACGAGACGTGGGCCCGGCTCGGGGTCCCGTCACATCAACTTGAAAGCCGAACTTTGGGAAAATTTGTCGTGCGAAATCCTCCTCCTCCACTCGGTGGCTCCGCGCAGCATCGTGACGGTGGCTGCGGCGACGGCAGCTCGACGCCGAGGGCGATCGCGACAAATGACGGCGACGGCGTAGAAACCCCGTCAGCGATTACTCCTCCGTGTGGCAAGCCACAATCTCATCCCCTTCAACCGCTGCCGCACACCCCCCAACCTAAAAAAAAAGCATACAAAAATTACTAAATACAAATTCAGACGTGGAAAGTTACGAATAAAAATCAGGCAGACAGAACAACTTGAGTGAAAGAGCCTGTTACAATGTACCAGAACATTTACTGGTCACACACGTGGCCGTGCGGACCAGTTGTCAGCCTCCTACTGCCCGCTACATTCCCAAAATGCACTTGGCCCTCCTCCCCCCTCTTCTGTTCGTCCGTAAGCGTTTTCCAGCTTGCCACGTGCTCGCGTCAATCGGCAAACGCAACTGACGTCACAATTGGCATTATCATTATTTAATTGCGGATGTTCGTGAGAACCTGCACGCGAGCAAGCAGCAGAAGAAAGCAGAAGTGAAAGAGGAGCCATCAGCATCGTGCAGTCCCCAGCACGGAACTCGGCCCTCACCACAGCCACTGCAGGGAGCCCGGTGTAACGTGTGGCTGTGTTGTCAGCGTGGTTGTTGTTGCTCCAACCAGAGGGCAGTAGTCATACCGGCCAGCGGTCTCACTGCGACACGAGCTGGCTAGCTGGCTGGCTAGCGGGCTGGCTAGTCGGTTGGCTAGCTGGCTGGCTAGCTGGCTACCTGGCTGGCTGGCTGGCTAGCTGGCTGGCTAGCTGGCTGGCTAGCTGGCTGGCTAGTCGGTTGGCTAGCTGGCTGGCTAGCTGGCTAGCTGGCTGGCTGGCTGGCTAGCTGGCTGGCTAGCTGGCTAGCTGGCTGGCTGGCTAGCTGGCTGGCTAGCTGGCTAGCTGGCTGGCTGGCTGGCTAGCTGGCTGGCTAGCTGGCTAGCTGGCTGGCTGGCTAGCTGGCTGGCTAGCCGGCTAGCTGGCTGGCTAGTTGGCTAGCTGGCTGGCTGGCTGGCTAGTTGGCTGGCTAGCTGGCTGGCTGGCTAGCTGGCTGGCTGGCTGGCTAGCTGGCTGGCTAGCTGGGTAGCTGGCTAGCTGGCTGGCTAGCTGGGTAGCTGGCTAGCTGGCTGGCTAGCTGGCTAGCTGGCTGGCTAGCAGGCTAACTGGTCCGGCAGGCCGGTAGGCAGGCAGGAAGGTTGGCTGGTCTGGCTGGCTAGCTAGCTAGCTGGCTGGCTAGCTAGCTAGCTGGCTGGCTAGCTGGCTAGCTGGCTGGCTAGCTGGCTGGCTAGCTGGCTAGCTGGCTGGCTAGCTGGCTGGCTGGCTGGCTAGCTGGCTGGCTAGCTGGCTGGCTGGCTGGCTAGCTGGGTAGCTGGGTAGCTGGCTGGCTGGTTAGCTGGCCAGCTGGGTAGTTGGGTAGCTGGCTGGCTAGCTAGCTGGCTGGATGGCTGGCTAGCTAGCTAGCTGGCTGGCTAGCTAGCTAGCTGGCTGGCTAGCTGGCTGGCTAGCTGGCTGGCTGGCTGGCTAGCTGGGTAGCTGGGTAGCTGGCTGGCTGGTTAGCTGGCCAGCTGGGTAGTTGGGTAGCTGGCTGGCTAGCTAGCTGGCTGGCTGGATGGCTGGCTAGCTAGCTGGCTGGCTAGCTGGCTGTATAGCCGAGATACAAGCAGGCAGGGATGGCTGTGTAACCACGACATGAGCTGGCTGATGGGCTGACTGGATGGCTGGCCCGGCAGGCCGGTGGGCAGGCAGCCTGGCTGGATATCAGCCAGCCCAAGAGGCCGGCTAGCGGATGGTGCAAGCACCTCTTTGTTATTGTTAGACGACGACTACGCAGCGAGGCACCCTCCTCCTGGTGGCCTGTGCTCCACTGCTGGCTGATGCCCAGGTTGAGCGTGGGCCCCGGCAGTCCACACTGAGACTTGCACCACGCGCGCTATTCCTCTCCACTCTCTATCAACCCCTGCCCTTAGCAGCAGCTAGGAATATTCAATACATCGCAAGTTCGACTGTAGTAGCAACAACAGCGGCAACAGCAGCGGCAACAGCAGCAACAACAGCAACAACAGTAGCAACAGCAGTAGCGACAGCAACAACAGCAGCAACAGCAACAACAGCAGTAGCAACAGCAGTAGCGACAGATGTCCAAAGCAATGGCGACAGTCTCCGGACTGCGCACGGAGCCCCCCGCCGCGAGTGTTGCAGTGAATGTCGCGTCAGTGAATGTCGCGTCAGTGAATGTCGCGTCAGTGAATGTCGCGTCAGTGAATGTCGCGTCAGTGAATGTCGCGTCTGTGAATGTCGCGTCTGTGAATGTCGCGTCTGTGAATGTCGCGTCTGTGAATGTCGCGTCAGTGAATGTCGCGTCTGTGAATGTCGCGTCTGTGAATGTCGCGTCTGTGAATGTCGCGTCTGTGAATGTCGCGTCAGTGAATGTCGCGTCAGTGAATGTCGCGTCTGTGAATGTCGCGTCGGTGAATGTCGCGTCGGTGAATTTCGCGTCGGTGAATTTCGCGTCAGGGAATGTCGCGTCAGGGAATGTCGCGTCACGAACGGATAGCGCAGGCGAGAGAGCGCACGGCAACCCCGTCAGATAGATATAGCACGTGTGTGTGTGTGCTGTGTGTGTGTGCTGTATGTGTGTGCTGTGTGTGTGTGTGTAGCTGTGTTTACTGTGTGTGCGTGCTGTGTGTGCTGTGTGTGTGTGTGCTGTGTGTGTGTGCGTGTGTGTTGTGTGTGTGTGTGTAGCTGTGTGTGTGTGTGCTGTGTGTGTGTGCTGTGTGTGCTGTGTGTGTGTGGTGTGTGTGCTGTGTGTGTGTGCTGTGTGTGCTGTGTGTGTGCTGTGTGTGTGTGCTGTGTGTATGTGTGCTGTGTGTGTGCTGTGTGTGCGTGTGCTGTGTGTGCGTGTGCTGTGTGTGTGTGTGCTGTGTGTGTGTGCTGTGTGTGTGCTGTGTGTGTGTGCTGTGTGTGTGTGTGCTGTGTGTGTGTGCTGTGTGTGTGCTGTGTGTGTGCTGTGTGTGTGTGTGTGCTGTGTGTGTGTGCTGTGTGTGTGTGTGTAGCTGTGTGTGTGTGTGCTGTGTGTGTGGTGTGTGCTGTGTGTGTGTGTGCTGTGTGTGTGCTGTGTGTGTGTGTAGCTGTGTGTGCTGTGTGTGTGCTGTGTGTGTGTGTGTGCTGTGTGTGTGTGTGCTGTGTGTGTGTGTGCTGTGTGTGTGTGTGCTGTGTGTGTAGCTGTGTGTGTGTGTGTGCTGTGTGTGCTGTGTGTGCGTGTGCTGTGTGTGTGTAGCTGTGTGTGCTGTGTGTGTGTGCTGTGTGTGTGCTGTGTGTGTGTGCTGTGTGTGTGTGTGCTGTGTGTGTGCTGTGTGCGTGTGTGCTGTGTGTGTATGCGTGCTGTGTGCGTGTTGTGTGCGTGCTGTGTGCGTGCTGTGTGTGTGTGCTGTGTGTGTGCGCGTGCTGTGTGTGCGTGTTGTGTGCGTGCTGTGTGTATGCGTGCTGTGTGTGTGCGTGCTGTGCGCTGCTGGTATGCTGCTGTGTGTATGTGCTGTGTGTGTACTGTGTGTGCGTGCTGTCTGTTTGTTGCTGTGTGTGTGTGCTGTGTGTGTGCTGTGTGTGTGTGCTGTGTGTGTGTGCTGTGTGTGTGTGCTGTGTGTGTGCTGTGTGTGTGCTGTGTGCGTGTGTACTGTGTGTGTTGCTGTGTGTGCTGTGTGTTGCTGTGTGTATGTTGCTGTGTGTGTGCTGTGTATGTACTGTGTGTTGCTGTGTGTGTTGCTGCGTGTGCTGCGTGTTGCTGTGTGTGCTGTGTATGTGTGCTGTGTATGCTGTGTGTGTGTGTGCTGCGTGTGCTGTGTGTTGCTGCGTGTGCTGTGTGTGTGTAGCTGTGTGTGTGCTGCGTGTGTTGCTGTGTTGCTGTGTGTGTGTTGCTGTGTGTGTGTTGCTGTGTGTGCTGTGTGTGTTGCTGCGTGTGCTGTGTGTGTGTAGCTGTGTGTGTGCTGCGTGTGTTGCTGTGTTGCTGTGTGTGTTGCTGTGTGTGCTGTGTGTGTGCTGTGTGTGTGTTGCTGTGTGTGCTGTGTGTGTAGCTGTGTGTGTAGCTGCGTGTGCTGTGTGTGTGCTGTGTGTGTAGCTGTGTGGGCTGTGTGTAGCTGTGTGTGTGCTGTGTGTGTAGCTGTGTGTGTGCTGTGTGTGTAGCTGTGTGTGTACTGTGTGTGTAGCTGTGTGTGTACTGTGTGTGTAGCTGTGTGTGTAGCTGTGTGTAGCTGTGTGTGTAGCTGTGTGTAGCTGTGTGTGTGCTGTGTGTGTAGCTGTGTGTAGCTGTGTGTGTGCTGTGTGTGTAGCTGTGTGTGTGCTGTGTGTGTAGCTGTGTGTGTGTGCTGTGTGTGTAGCTGTGTGTAGCTGTGTGTGTAGCTGTGTGTGTGCTGTGTGTGTAGCTGTGTGTGTGCTGTGTGTGTGCTGTGTGTGTAGCTGTGTGTGTGTGCTGTGTGTGTAGCTGTGTGTAGCTGTGTGTGTAGCTGTGTGTAGCTGTGTGTGTAGCTGTGTGTGCTGTGTGTGTAGCTGCCGAGCCCCGCTCACCGCGCTCCTCACCGCGTCCTGCGCCGCTCGAGTGCGGCTCGCGAGACGACGGCGCGGACGCCTCGCGCCGCACTCCACTGCTGTTGCTGCTGTTGCTGTGTCCGCTGCTGTTGCTGCTGTTGCTGTGTCCGCTGTCTCTGCGACTGCCGCTGCTGTTGCTGTGGCCGCTGTTGCTGTGGCCGCTGCTGTCTCCGCTACTGCCGCTGCTGCTGTCTCTTCTGCTGCTGTCTCTGCTGTCTCTGTCTCCGCTACTGCCGCTGCTGCTGTCTCTGTCTCTGCTGTCTCCGCTGCTGCTGTCTCTGTCTCCGCTGCTGCTGTCTCCGCTACTGCTGTCTCTGTCTCTGCTGTCTCTGTCTCTGCTGTCTCCGCTGCTGCTGTCTCTGCTGTCTCCGCCGCCTCCTCCCCCCGCTCGAGCCGTGCGCAGCCTCAGCCTCAGCAGCATCAGCGGCGGTGGTGTCGGAGTGCGACGTCACCACGAAAGGCAAAGATCCCCCGGGTAGCCTCGACTCGCGGGGCAAGTGCCGCGCCCAACCTTGTGGAGGAGCCGCCACGGAGACACGTGGGGGGAGTCAGCACCGCGCCCGGCCGCCTTTGTCTCCCCAGCGGCGCTGTTGTTACAGCAGGAGACTCGTTTCGTGAGGCTGAGTCGACCCCTCGGGTAGGAGGAGGTGTTGGGCCGTGGTGTTCGTGGCGCAGCGCTAACCGCTGCGCCACCGCTCCCCGCTGCCCCTCCCCCCCGCCTCTCTTCCAGTTGTGTCCCCATCAGCCAAGCGGATTGCGTGAGGAGGGCATGGGGGGGGCAGGGGGGGCAGGGGGGCAGGGAAAAGCAGGGGGGCAGGGGGGGGCAGGGTGGAACGGGGGGGGCAGGAGGGCAGGGGGGCAGGAGGGCAGGGGGGGCAGGGGGGAACGGGGGGGGGCAGGGGGGCAGGGGGGGCAGGGGGGAACGGGGGGGGCAGGGGGGAACGGGGGGGCAGGGGGGAACGGGGGGGGGCAGGGGGGGCAGGGGGGAACGGGGGGGGCAGGGGGGAACGGGGGGGCAGGGGTGAACGGGGGGGCAGGGGGGAACGGGGGGAGCAGGGGGGAACGGCCCCGCAACCCCCACACAAAGACAAAGACCCCCCCCCCCGTGTAGCCTTAACGGACTGTAGGGGCAAGTGCTGTTAGCAGCTGTGAAGGCTACCGGCACTGTGGCACACGAGGGGGTGGGTGGCCAGCACCACGCCAGGCCGCCTTTGTTTCCCGAATGGCGATGTTTACTACACACCGCATTGGGTACTCATTTGAGGCTGAGTCGACCTAGGAGAGGCCCAGGACCGGTTCCGAGATGGTCGTCACTGATGTTGGCCGTGAGCGGGAATCGAACTCGGCTCGCCGGGTCCGTAGCGGCCAGCGCCGCGCTGACCGCTACCACTCCACGGACTCGATCGCTCGTCCACTGACCCCGAGTCGTCTTTGTTGCTGCTTTCCCTGACCTTGCTCACACGCGACACCACACGTGGCTTCTTCTCCCACTGCCATTTGTGATAGCCAAGTCGCTCAAGTGGAGGCAATACCTGGTACAAAAAAAAACCTACTAGTTTAGTTCTAAATAGTTTTAACTAAGTTTAACACGTAAGCTTTCGCGACCAATATCATCCATAATAGAGTTTTTTGGGGGGTTAGATCAACAGGGCATTGGATACCAAAACCAAATCAAATAACAAGAGCATTGGAACTGCCCAAGTAATTAAAACGATCAAAATACCGCACATGGCGGGAGTAACTGATAAACTAGCCAGATGTTTGGAAAAACAAAACATCCGATTCGGATTTGGCACGATACATAAAATACAGAAATTAATATCTGGTACAAAAGATGTATTACCGAAGCTATCAACAGAAGGTGTGTACAGGATTAACTGCAGGTGTGTTAGATGTTATGTTGGACAAACAGGACGAATGATCAGCACGAGACTAAAATAACAGCAGAGAAATATTAAATTCTCCCAAATGCAACTGTCAGCAGTAGCAGAACACGCATGCCAACAAGGACACTCAATTGATTTTGATGTAAAAGTTTTGTGCAAAACTAGCTACTACTAATACTGGCCAAGACTAATTACAGAATCTATCGAAATTGAAAGAAATCAAAATAACTTTAACCGTTCAGATAGCTACCATCTTAGTGCTGCTTGGAAAGGAATCATCAAATAATACATTGTTTAAATGCATGCCGATGTAGAGGTGCTAACTACTCACTGTTCGGTAACCTGCATTCCCACTAGGTATCAACGAAGCAGTGCAGCGTTACCTCTGTGTGAATAACGGTTGGGGTCAGACGAGGTGAAGTGGATCGTAGCCACAGTTTGGTAAGAGCCAATCAGACAGTTCCACGTGGGAATGTGGGATTGGTTACACCTGGCCACAAACGGGTATAAGAAGGGTGACCGCGCAGATCTCGGGGAGTTCTCTCCCTACACGAAGACCGAAGCCCGGGCTGAAGATAGACAGGACCCTGGACCCAGCCTTCCAGCCCTTCTGAGGGCTAAGGCTCGGCATATCCAGTGGTCAAGACCCGCCGGGCCAGCGGTGGGTCAGATAGCCTCCCCTAGGTCCCAGCCGGAGGACTCTAGGATAGCGGTAGACGTGTGAGTAAGTCCCGCCAAGACAGGAGGCTGTACCTCCTTAGGTTAGCAAAGAGACCTGTGTGAAGGTCCCGCTAAGTCCGGAGGCTGTGCCTCCTTAGGGTGACGGGTGAGGAGACCGTACACCCGTTTGTGTGTTAGGGACCATGTCAGAGGAGAAAGACAATAAACAGAGTGTGCCTCATAAGAAGTTTATTCGTCATTATACAACACTACACCTACAAAGGGCAGCGTACTTCAATAGGGATTACCGTTAGTAGGGCTATTTTAATAAACACAATAGACAGGAAGGACAAGTTCAAAGGGCTCGCATAATGCACATGTGTAGTGAGTCCAACTGAGTCGCAGACGTTGTCTTGGGAGTAACACTTTTATTGACAGCAACGCAACAATGTAACCTACACTCGGGTGTTGAACGCCCAACTAACCACGCTACGGCAGAACTAGACACGGTCCCGCTATCCCGATCCGGACCACAAGCTGGGTCCCGGACCGCGTGGCTAGAGGCTTCGTCAACCCGACGTGGATCTTCACTCACCAACAGTCAAGAACCCCCGGGGCCCTCACGGGGCCCCCGTTATATCGGCCCGGGCTGGGGCTGGCTCCGCCTCTCGCCCCGCCCACCTTCTAGATCTCTCGAGCTCTTTCCCGAAGGCTCCCGAGAGCTCCTCTATACCACGTGACCACCCAGCGGCCCCCGTCCACCGGTGGCCCCCCTCCGATATCATCCGGTCACGTGTCGGCAGGTCCACCAGCGTATCATGCCCCAAGGTAACCCTGGCTGGCTGACCCTCTCGCTCCCTCACCGGGAGCCCGCACCGCACACTGTACATGGCGCCCTCGCGCTAACCAGCGCTCGCCCGAGCCCCGCTAGGGCTGGTGGTACTACGCCCAGTAAGCGGGCTGCACATAATGCCAACACATTATCCGCCGTGGCCTCTCAGGCCCGGCACCACACAGTGACATTCCCAGTCACTACACATGCATAATGTACGTTGCCTCAGTAATGCCCCCCCCCCTCCACATTGTGCAAGAGCGCAGAAGTGTGGTCACCACATCTACGCCTCTATATAAGGAACGCAACAGGTGGACTTCTCCACAAATCTGGCTGTCGCCTGATGAAGCTAGTTGTAATTACTGGCGAAGCGTCGTACTCAGATTGTAAATGTTGTGGGTTAGCTCTCCAACACACCGGTGTGCTGTACTAGTGACGAATTGGCATGTTCTGTTCACGTGATCACCCTTACTAGTTGGCTGTGTCAGGTGGTGGAGGGTTTTAACGACACATTTATTTATTTACGCGATCTAACCCAAAAACTAACTCGTTGCCGATCTTTCTTATAAAAGCCCGGCGTTCCGTTTGTCCATTTGTCCGTCAACTAAATAATGAGAGCCTTTCAGAAGGCCCGAATCAAAACGCCATAGAAAGTCGACCCCCCCCCCCCCCAAATAAATATATTTTGTAGGCAAATATACCTACACACCCTACATACAATAGTCAGTATCTACTAACTCTATTGTAGTATATACTGACTCTACAGTAGTATCTACTGACTCTACAGTAGTATCTACTGACACTATAGTAGTATCTACTGACACTATAGTAGTATCTACTGACTCTACCGTAGTATCTACTGACTATATTAGTATCTACTGACTCTATAGTAGTATCTACTGACTCTACAGTAGTATCTACTGACTCCACAGTAGTATCTACTAACTCTATTGTAGTATATACTGACTCTACAGTAGTATCTACTGACTCTACAGTAGTATCTACTGACTCTATAGTAGTATCTACTGACACTATAGTAGTATCTACTGACTATATTAGTATCTACTGACTATAGTAGTATCTACTGACTCTATAGTAATATCTACTAACTCTATTGTAGTATATACTGACTCTACAGTAGTATCTACTGACACTATAGTAGTATCTACTGACTCCACAGTAGTATCTACTGACTATAGAAGTATCTACTGACACTATATTAGTATCTACTGACTATATTAGTATCTACTGACTCTACAGTAGTATCTATTGACTATATTAGTATCTACTGACACTATAGTAGTATCTACTGACTCTACAGTAGTATCTACTGACACTATAGTAGTATCTACTGACTCTATAGTAGTATCTACTGACTCTACAGTAGTATCTACTGACACTATAGTAGTATCTACTGACTCTATAGTAGTATCTACTGACTCTACAGTAGTATCTACTGACACTATAGTAGTATCTACTGACTCTATAGTAGTATCTACTGACTCTACAGTAGTATCTACTGACACTATAGTAGTATCTACTGACTCTATAGTAGTATCTACTGACTCTACAGTAGTATCTACTGACTCTACAGTAGTATCTACTGACACTATATTAGTATCTACTGACTCTATAGTAGAAGAGGACATCAGTGGGGGCGACGGGGAGGCGTGAAGCGCAGAGAAGCCCTCCACAGGAGTCCGAACAGTAAAATCGCATCCCCTTTCACTGGAATTCCGTACGTTGAAGGTCAAGAGGTGGTCATCGTCGATTCCTGCTGGTGCCAC